CCCGGGGGAGGAGATCGGTTCGCTGGAAGGGAATGAAGCTGAGGAAGAGAGAGGAATCGCTCCCAGGGCGAGCGGTGGCTCTGCTTCTGCTCCTCTGCGTGGCGGGGATGAGAGCAGAAACCACCCGGTATTCTGTGCCCGAAGAGGCGGAGAGAGGCTCCTTTGTGGGGAATATCGCTAAGGATTTGGGACTGACCGCTGAGGAATTAGCGGAAAAAAAACTCGTTCTTGAAGGAGAACAGCAGTATTTACAGCCGAACCAACACACCGGGGATTTGGTGGTGCGAGAGGAGATGGACCGGGAGGAGCTGTGCGGGCAGAGCGAGCCCTGCCTGCTGCCTTTCGAGGTGCTGCTGGAGAGCCCACTGCGGTCCTTCCGAGCTGAGGTAAGCCTCACCGACATAAATGATCATGCTCCCGTGTTCTTAAACAAAGAGATCGTTTTAAAGATCCCGGAAACTGCAATGCCGGCGGCTCGGTTTTTGTTGGAAAGCGCTCAGGATCCAGATGTGGGGAACAATAGCCTTCAGCATTACAGTATCAGTTCGAATGACTATTTCCATATCTACACTCGGAGGCGGAGTGATGGCAGGAGGTACGCTGAGCTGGTGTTGGACCGAGCCCTGGACCGGGAGCAGCAGGCAGAAGTGGCTTTAAGTGTCACGGCTGTGGATGGTGGGTCCCCACTGCTCTGTGGTACAGCCCTAATCCGAGTAGTAGTCCTGGATATAAACGACAACATCCCGGTATTTACCCGTAGTCTGTATAAAGCCCGAGTATTAGAAAATAGCGACGAGGACACCGCAGTGGTGGTGATGTCTGCAAGCGATTTAGACTCAGGAACGAACGGGGAAATAGCCTATTCCATAGTTCCAAATTCAGAGGAAAATCTCCAGACCTTTAAAGTAAATCCAGAGACAGGGCAGATCCACTCAAAAAAACGGTGGATTATGAAGAAAGAAAGACCTACGAGAGAGACGTCCAGGCCACAGACGGAGGGGGCCTGTCCACGCACTGCAAGGTGGAGGTGCAAGTGGAGGACGTGAACGACAACACCCCTGAGGTGATCATCACCTCCCTCACCAGCACCCTCTCGGAAGCCGCCCCGCCGAACACCGTGGTAGCCCTTTTCAACGTGCGGGACCGGGACTCGGGGGACAATGGCAGGACGAGCTGCGAGCTACCGGGGGAGCAGCCCTTCAGCATCACGCAGCTGGCGACCGACGCGTACGCGCTGGTGACATCGGAGGCCCTGGACCGGGAGCGGGTGGCGGAGTACAACGTGACGGTGCGGGCTTGCGACGAGGGCTCCCCCGCGCTCTCGACATCCAAGACGCTGCTGGTGTGGCTCTTGGACGTGAACGACAACGCGCCCACTTTCAACCAGGCCGTTTATACCATGGTGGTGAGCGAAAACGAGCCCGCCGGGA